AGTCTGATCTAGTTTCCTGCCATTTGCTAGCTCTCGGACAATGCTCCATTCAAGTCCACAGTTTTTTAGTCTAATTTATGTCTGTGCCTCTCCTTTAAGAGAGCAAAGCTGAAACTTTGTTGCTATTTAGCTTTTGCTGTGTTTTTAAAACCCCTACAACAGACACCTCCTATCTGTGTATGGAATTAAAAACATTTTCTGGCTTGGCACTTCTTCAAGGGAGCCCCTTCCCCTTTCTACTGAGGAGGGTTTAAGTTTCTGTGAATGTAGGTGATATACTTAGACTGCCATGAGTCCAATGAGGCAAAATCATGGGTTAATATTTGGTAAACAGCATGTTTGAGGATGCCTATTTTTAACATAGATTTAGTATGAATTTGGAGCGTGTTTGAGCAGGGACCCCCATGAGGAGTTCAGAGGTGGTCTTCAAGGCCTTGTGTACACGGTTCTGAAGTCCTCCTGGTACCCAGCAGGCACTTGTCTCTTTCCTCCCTGTGTGCCCCGTTCCTCTGCTCTTCATGGTGATGAGAGCAGCTGGCTTTGCTTCGCCAACTCACATTACCTGGTGTCTCACATGACTGGGCTTTGTCCAGCAGCCTGGTCTTCAGCAGTGTCCCAAGACTCTGCCCCAGAGCTAGGTTCCCATTATTCCAGCTCAGGTGACACTCTGGGATGGATGAGCAGCTCTCTCCCCACAACAGGTGCACCTGGGACCCCATGGACTCAAGTTGCTAGTGGAACATGGAGAGTGAGCTCCAGGGTCCCGGGCCTGGAGGGGATTCTGGTCCAGGTGTCACAAGCTCTCGGGGCTTCTTCTTGGTTCTGCCTGGGCGACGAGCCGACCCTATAGCTTCCAGTTTTCCTGTTTTATATTTTGGTATGTTAAATACTTTATTGGCCAGGGCCACAGTACATCAGGCTTTGAAGATGGTTGAGAACCGTAACATAGTTAGGGTGCTGGGGGCTGGGGAAAGTTTAAAGGATAGATTCAAGTATCAAAGTGATAAAAAAAAAAAGGGAGATAGTTTAAAATAAGGAGTTATATAATGAGCATTAAGAAAATATTATTCCTTATATGTAACAAGCACTAGCTATATCGATAAATATTGGAAAGAATTCTGTGTTTATATTATTTTTTTCAACTTTTTATTGTGAATTGAGTGAAAGTTTACAGAGCAGATCATCAGTTTTGCATTCAACAAACCATACACTTTGTTTCCCTACATGGTTGCAATCCCCTCCGTGTACCAACAGTTAACAGTATTTACCTCTATTCACTTTAACTATACTGCATTCCTTCCTGTGTCTCCCGCCACCTTCATCTTTCCTCGGCTAACCTCCCTCTTGTTGTATATTTCCTGCCCTGTCACCTATGTTGTGGCACTGTGAGTTAATATGCTGGATTGCAAAGTCACCTTGAACGTCTAGGTTGGAGGTTCAAGCTCACCAGGTGCTTCTTGGAAACCCTATATAGGGTTGCTGTGGGTCGGAACCAACTTGACAGCACTTACCAACAACCAATCCTCTAGCCCATGAATAATTCCCCCTCCACCCTCCAGTAACCATCATCGATTTTCTCTTTTATCTAGAAAAACCTTTTTTTGGTAACTTTTTACAACATTGGTCTCATACAATGTTTGTCCTTTTGTGATTGACTAATTTCACTCAGCATTCTTTGAGGTGTTTCAAGGATTCATCATTTTGTTTACCCATTCTTCTGTTGATGAGCATTTAGGCTGTCTCCATCTTTTTGATATGTCTCTTGTAGACAGCATATTGAAGGATACAGTTTTCTTATCCAGTCTGCTTTCTCTGTCTCTTAACCGGTACATTTAATCCGTTTATATTCAGTGTAATTATCAGTAGGTATCAATTGCTGTCATTTCTTTCTCTCTCTTTTTTTTTTGGGGGGGGGTGCTGTTGGTTTCTTTGTTCCACATAATTTTCTATGCTGAGTTAATTCTGTTTGTGGGGTTTCTTTCCATTTTCATATCTGTTTTGTCAATGTTTACTAAATCTTTCTGATTTTTCTTTATTATTTTGATGTGCAGGTGCATTATTATTATTTTCTTTAGGTTACTCTGTAATTTATTAATTTTGACCCTGCCTAAAACAGTCTTTTTATCTTGAAATCTACTTGACTTCCTTGTTATGTGGATATAGTGTTCTGTATCAACACTATTCCCTCTTTTTGCTTTATAGTTGACTTCATTATACATTGATACCTCCAGTCCCCTATTTTCAGTCTTAGAGTTTTGTTTTACTTTAAATACTTCTATATCTGCAACCAGAGTGCTCCTTGGAGGCCAAGATGGCTAGGCTTCGTCTCTCATACTTTGGACACATTGTCCGGAGAGAACAATCATTGGAGAAGGATGTCATGCTGGGTAAGATGGAGGGTCAGAGAAAGAGAGGAAGACCACCAATGAAATAGATCAGCCAGGTGACATCATTGATGGCATCAACTGTGGCGGTGGTAGTGAGGTTGGCCCAGGATCGGACATTGTATCGTTCTGCTGTGCGTGGGGTCACTATGAGTCGGTTCCAACTCGATGGCACCTGACAACAACAACAACAACAACAACAACAAATATCTGGATAGACTGCTGGGTGGTGGCGTCATGAATGGTCATTTCAGGTTGTTGTCTGCTATTGTTGGTTCTCAGTCCAAAGAACATCCTTTAGTTACATTTTTTGTAAAGCTGGCCTGGTCATTACAATTTCCTTTAATTTCTGTTTATCAGGAAATATCCTAATTTCACCATCATATTTGAGTGACAGCTTTGGTGGGTATGTGATTCTTGGTTGGCAATCTTTTTCTTTCAGAGTTTTGTATATGTCTTCCCATTGCTTTCTTGTATGTATTGTTTCTGCTGAGAAATCAGAGCTTAGTCTTATTGGTTCTCCTTTGTAGGTAACTTTTTCATTTTTACCGAGCAGCTCTTAGGATTCTTTCCTTGTCTTTGATTTTGAAAAGTTTGATTATGATATGTCTTGGTGATTTTGTTTTGGGATCTATTCTGTTTGCAGTTCATTCAGCTTCTTGTATGTTTATCTTCTTATCTTTCTTGATGTTAGGGAAGTTTTCTTCCAACAACTCTTCTACAATTTTGTCTGTGCTTGTCTCTTCCTGTTCTGAAATTCCAATCACTGATAAGTTGTTCCTCTTCATGGTGTCCCACATAGCTCTTCGGCTTTTTTTTGGATTTTTAAATTCTTTTGTCTGATTGTTCTTTTAGCATACTAGCATTGATTTCACTTCAAGCTCACTAATTTGGGCTTCCATTGCTTTGCATCTATTCCTTTGTCCTTCAGTGTGTTGTTCATTTCTGAGATCTCAATATTCATCTTCTGGATTTCTAATTGCAGGTTTTGTATGGTTTCAAAAATTGCATTTATTTTTTCTGTGTGTTCATGTAGTGTTTTCCTGAATTTTTCTAAATTTCTTAATGTGTTCTCCTTGTTTTCTTTGGCGTTTCCATCAGCGCTTTAAGGGTCCTAATTATCATTCTTTTCCATTCTGTTTCGGTTAGTTCTATTAACTTTTCTTCCTCAGAAACATCTTCTGTCTCTGCAGCTTGCTCATCTGCGCCATTCTCTCTCGTTTCTTCGTGTGAGCTAAGATTGTCTGTTGTCGCCAGGGCATTGTGAGGTTGTCGTGTTTGTAAAAACAAACAATGCCGTGTTGGACCTGGAAGAAGTCTCTGGGGGTTCCTGTAATTCAAGGAGCTCATGAGGTGGGTGTGGAAGGGATGTGACAGCAGCGTTCCTGCCCAGGATGGCGTTCCTGTGGGTCTCAGTGTTATCTATGGTCAGCGTATTCAATCTGAAAGTAGTTCATGGGGGCCCTTGATGGAGCTGGTTTCAGTGTCTGTTAGGACCACAGGGAAGTTGGAGGCAGGGTAACTGGTGAAATGCTGGTCGGTGGTTCTACGGGTTTTGTAGGCCTGGAGCTGAGCCCACCTGAATCCAGATACCAAAACGGTACACCAAAGAGGCGCAGCCAGCTCTCACCGCACACTGGCATAGCTCCCGACCACTCATCCCCGCACTCCTGGAGAGCAAGGTCTGCGCTGGGTATGGATGAGGGTGGGAGCGGCCCACACTTGTGGTCACCAGGAAAGCATGGGATAAAAGAAGAAACTGTACCTTTCCCATCATCCGCACAATACCAGGCCTCCCTCTGCTGCCAGAGCTGCTCACCAGCTGGTGGTACTACGTCTGGACAGCCGGTCACCTGTCAGTCTCTCTCTCTGTCACCGTCCCTGCTCAGCCTCTTCCCAGCAAGCACTCCATCCACCTCTCTAACCTTTCTTCCCAAGTCCAGGGTGCCCGAATTTTCATCTGTGTCTCTTTTACATGGTTGCTCGTATCTTTGCCATAGAGGGTCCATATTGTGCCTTTACCTGGTCCGCCACCTTGCCAGAAGTCTGGCTTTCATCTTTTCTAAGGATCCGGAAATGGCTGTTGAGGAGACAGGACACCCAACGCACCTTCCCAAATCTCATCTCTGTGCAGGGCTGGTGAGGGCTCCAAGGACCATCAAAGAGGAGTCTCTAAGGAGGTTGCAGACACCTGTGTTTCCTGATGGGACCCCCCCCCCCATCGTCAGATCTTTTACTAGTCAGGAATTAGCCAACCTCCCCAGCACCCAGCGCTTCCTTCCGGGGGCTGTTGTGATGAAAGGACCAGGAACTCTTCAAGGTCATGGGTGTGCTCAGTCCAGAGCTTGATCATGAGCCACCATGTGACATAGCAAACCAGGAGCTCTTTGAAAAGACCTACAGAAAACACACACAGTTCCCATGAGCCCGGCACGTCGTCGTAAACAGTGAGTGACCCTGTGGCAACCCAGTCTTGTTGAAGCACCAACAGCCCTAACAGCAGGAATGTTATTGCAGAAGTGTCAGGAGTGTCTAGCAGTCTTCCCAGCCAGCCCTGTCTCCAGAGAAAGTGGATGCCACGTCAGCAAATGAGTCTTCTTCCACCATCCTTGTCAGCAGCCCAGACTCTCCTGCTGAACCTGCTGTACCCTCTCTTCTCGGAGCACATCGCAGTCGTCCGCTACCCAGACCTGAGTGCTTGACTCCTGCTAACCCAGGCCTGGGAGGAAGCCCCGTCTCTTCCCTCCAAAATCCAAACCCACTGCCGTCAGGTTGATTCCGACTCACAGTGACCCAGACCAACAGGAGAGTGAGACCTCTGGACTGGAGAATCCTGGACAAGCCAGGGCGACGAATGGAGACTCTGCTTAGATCCGTCTGATGGTGGTGCTGTTGCTGCTGTGTGCCGAGTGGATGCCAACTCGTGGTGACCCATGTGATCCAGCAGAGCTGCCGCATAGGCTTCCAAGGCTGTCCTCATGAAAGCACACTGCCACGCTGTTCTCCCCCTGGAGTTGTTCTCCCCTTAGCAGCTGACTGCTTAATGATCGTGCCACCAGGACACCTCCCAGCAACCCAGAGGGTGTTTTCAAGAGGAGAGATGTATGTAGTGTTGCCTTCTTGGTAGTATCTGTCACTTCCTGACACCTTTTCTGCTTCTAGCCATCGCCTCTCTCTCATGATTCCTTGTTGCCATATAAGTAACATTCTTCCTTATCCCCCAAACTTTCTACATGTCCCCACCCTTTTCAGATGTGGAGCATCACACTGTGCACATGTCCCATGTAGAAGCCACAGCCTAACGCCACTATATAGTCATCCTTTCGACACGTGCTCGCTGAGTCCCTTCCATGTGCCTAGACACTGTTCCAGGCATTCACTGTACAATGATGGCTGAGACGCACCATGTTTCTGTTCTAGAGGCAGAGACAGCGTGAAGAAGGCAGATGACCATGCAATATACTGGCAGCAAGAAGGGCCACAAAGCGAAATAAATCGGATAGCGGGGGTGGGCAGGCATGAAGGTAGAAAAGAATCTGTGCAAAGGCCCTGAGGCAGGCAGGCTTAGCTCTGGTGTGAAAGAAAGACCAGAAAGACAGATAAGAGGCTTCCAGCATCTGGGAATGGAGTTGAGCTGAGGTCTGAGTCTTCAGTGCAAGGCAGTCACTAGTCCCGTTCTGGGTACTAAGTGTGTCTTCTGTGTCTATACCCCACCGTTCCCAAGCAGCAACTAGGCACAGAGCCACTGTTCTCAGAGGGCTGGGGAAAGACCAAGGCTGATGCCTGCTCCAAAGCCTTCCCACAGGGGCCCTTTGAAGACAGACTTCTAGAGTGATGCTTTAGATGTTTACTTTCATGTTGTTGGTTTTTTTTTGGTGTGTGTGTGTGTGTTTAATATTTTTCATACAGGGTTTGTACAACAAGGGTTTCGTTTTTCATACAAAATTTCATGGAAAAATTCTATGATCTTTTATTTTATTATTTTTTTATAAACATGTTTTATTTGTTTTACTTATACCATCAAAACTTAAAACTACTGACTTGTCATTTCCGTAAAACAGGGAAATCAATCTAAAACACATACTGGTACTTTTCAAAAGAGAGCAATTTAAAAAGGGTAGTAGAAGCAGGCATTTGATATCTTTTTCTTTTAAAAACCTTCAGGCTGCAGGAAAAGACTTGTGACCAAAAGTGTTACGATTATCCGTTAGAGATTTTCATCAGTACCTGTACCAATTTAGGTGACAATAGTACAAAAGCCAAGGATTAGTGACAGACAATGCCCATGTCATAAGGAATGGTATAAAGTACCAAACCTTACAAAAGGCATTGTCAAAGAAACTGTAAGTGTTCAAAAAGTATCTAAATACTTCACATTAAATACAGAAGTGGTCATCCAGATTATATCCCATTATTTGTTGCATATTTTTCAAAAAACTACCAATCAAAGCCTCATTTTGCATTTTGGCTTTGTCTTATACAGTATCAGCTGTTAAAAAGCAATTTACATGTTTTTGTTTTTTGAAAGTCATTTTACTAGATGATGAACAGTGCTGTGTCAAAGCTGGTAGTCAGTCGTATTATGTGTGATTAAGGGTTCATGCATAATTTGGTATAGATCTAAATGTCCGGTGCTTCAATTTAACTGGAAAAGTTCCTTCCATGGCAATTATTTTAGTTTCATCAACACTAGGGCTGAAAATTCTATGATCTTTTATTCCATTGTTCCAGGAAGGTATTTTCCTTCTTCCCAACTTTTGATTGTGAACTGAGTGAAGATTTACAGATCAGATCATGAGTTGTATATTCAACAAATTATATACTTTGTTTCATTATATGGGTACAATCCCCTCCATGTACCAAAATTTACCAGCATTTACCTCTATTGACTTTAACAATTGCATTCCTCCCTGTGTCTCCTGCTACTTTAAGCTTTACTTTCTCTTGTATATTGCCTGCCCTGTCACTCCCCCCTTACCCTCTAGCCCACTTGCCCCAAGTGGCTTTGTCTTATACAGTATCAGCTGTTAAAAAGCAATTTACATGTTTTTGTTTTTTACAACATTGTTTCATACAATATTTGTTCTTTTGTGATTGACTAATTTCACTCAGCATAGTGACCTCCAGGTTGAACCATGTTGTGAAGGGTTTCACAAATTCCTCATTGTTCTTCAACATTTTGCTGTATTCTGTTGTATGTACAAAGTTTGTTTAACCATTCTTCTGTTGATGAGCGTTTAGGCTGCCCTCCATCTTTTTGATATGTCTCTTGTAGACAGCATATTGAAATCCTGTTTTCCTATCCATTCTGCTTTCTGCGTCTCTTGACTGATACATTTAGTCCACTTACATTCAGTGTAATTATCAGTAGGTATGAATTGATCGCTGTCATTTCTTTTGTTTTTTGGTGTGTGTATGTGTGGTGTTGCTGGTTTCTTTGTTCCACATAACTTTTTATGCTGAGTTCATTTAGTTTGTGGGTTTTCTTATCATTTTCATTTCTGTTGTGTTAATGTTTACTAAATCTTTCTGATTTTCCTTTATTTATTTTAAAATGTCTTATTGTGAATTATGTGATAGTTTACACGGGAGAACATTAGTTTTACATTCATCCTGTCCTATAGTGTGTCATTGCCATGGTTACAATCCCCTCTATGCATCATCAACCAACCAGAGTATACCCTGCAAGCCTGTCCCCCTCCCCCACCCCCCAGTCATCAGCACACAGCCCCTCTCCTTTTCTGGGTCTAAATCCCCAGCTGCTCCTTCTCTCCATGTCATCATCTCTGCCTCCATCTCTGGCGTCATTGCTTCTCTGGGTAGGGTCCCACACTCCGCTCTTCTCCCTTGATGGCTTGATGGTTGATTTTCCTTTATTTTTATTTTGATGTGCAAGTATGTTTTTTTTGTTTTTTTTTTTTTGAGGTTACCCTGTAATTTAGTAATTTTTTTCCCTGTATAAAAGTGATTTTTTTCTTGAAACCTACTTGATTTCCTTGCCATTTGGCGGTTCTGTATCTATACTCTTCCTTCTTTTTGCTTTGTATTTGACTTCATTATACACTGATATCCCTGGTTCCCTATTTCCAGTCTTATAGGTTTGTTTCACTTTAACACTTATATATATCTGGATTGAGGAATCCTGGTATGGTGCTGTAAGGTCAGCACTGGACTTCAAACCAGTGTTAATCTTAGGGTGTTTTCTACTGTTGTTGTTTCTCAGTCCAAAGAATGCCCTTTAACATCTTTTGTAAAGTTAGACTAGTCATTACAAATTCCTTTAACTTCTGTTTATCAGGAAGTGTCCTATTTTTTGCCTTCATATTTAAGGGACAGCTTTGCTGGGTATATGATTCTTGGTTGGCAACTGTTTTACTTTAGAGTTTTGTATATGCCATCATCCCATTGACTTCTTACCTGAGAAATCAGAGCTTGGTCTTAAGGATTCTCCTTTGTAGCTAACTTCATTTTTCCAGAACTGCTTTCAGGATTCTTTGTCTTTGATTAAAAAAAAAAAAAAAGACTTTTTAGCATTTGTCTTTGATTTTGGAAAGTTTGATTAGGATGTGTCTTGGTCATTTTCCTTTGGGATCTATCCTGTTTGGGGTTTGTTCAGCTTCTTGTATGCTTATCTTCTTATCTTTCATGATGTTAGGGAAGTTTCCTTCCAAAATCTATTGGACAGTTTTCTCTGTGCCCTATATTGTCTCTCCCTGTTCTGGAATTCCAGTTACGCATAGGTTCTTCTTCTTCATGGTGTCTCACATAACTGATGCTTTCTTTGCATTTTTTTCTGATGGTTCTTCTAGTATGCTAACATTGAGAGATTTCTATTTTACTACTTTGAGAGATTTCTATTCAAACTCAGTATTTTGGGCTTCCATTGCTTCAAACCTTCTCTTTTGCCATCTCAGTGTGTTGTCCTTTTCTGAGATCTTAATATTAATCTTCTGAATTTCTAATTGCAGATTTTGTATGGCCTCAAAATTTGCATTTATTTTGTCTGTTTGTTCTTCCAGCGTTTTCCTGAATTCTTCTAAAGTTTTTTCTATGTTCTCCTTGCTTTCCTCGATATGTCAATCCATTGAAGGTACCTAAGTATCATTCTTTTGAATTCTTTTTCAATTAGTTCCATTACCTTTCTTTCCTGAGAAATATGATTTTCTGTCTCTGGTCATTTAGTTGAGCAATTCTCTCGTTTCTTCATGTGAGCTAAAATTGTCTGTTGTCTCTAGGGCATTGTGGGGTTCTTGTATTTGTAAAAACTAAGCAGTTCAGTTGGTGGCCTCAGAGAGGGGAAATTTCTGGGGGGCTCCTTCAATTTCAGGAGCCCAGGAGGTGAGTGCAGGCGGGATGTAACAGCAGGGTTCCTGGCCCTCGATGGAGTTCCTGTGGGCCTCGCTTGATGTTCCTATGTCCAGGATACTCAGTCTGGAAGTAGTCTGTGGGAGCCCTTGATGGAGTTGGTTGTGGTGACTGTTAGGACCACAGGGAAGCTGAGAGCAGAGGAACTGGTTTAATGCTGGCCTGTGCATCTGCAGGTTTTGTAGGTCTGGAGCAAAGCTCATCTGAATCTAGACACCAAAGCGCACAGCAGAGCGTGGTTCCCAACCACGTGACTCCTAACTCCTGGAAAGCAGGGTTTAGGGTGGAGGTGGATGAGGGCAGAAGCTGGCCACACCTCTGGTCACCAGGGGAAAGT